AATGCAGATTGGGGAGACAGACTGGAGAGACATTTTGGGAGAGGACTCAACAGATGTGAGGGAGTAACTGGCCATGGGAAAAGAAGAAGATGAGAACTCAAGGATGACCTCCAGGTTTCTGTCCTGAGCAACAGATGGTGCTAGCATTTATTTAAAAGGAAAGGTCTAAGTAGAGAATATTTGGGGGGACCTGGGGAGGATGAGAATGGAGAGTTCCGTTTTGAACAGTTATGCCTAAAATAAATCCAAGTAGCCATGTCAGATGGTTGGTTAGATACATATGCATGGAGCTCTGAGGAGATTATTAGAAGCCATTGCTACATTGATGGGATTGAAAGCCATGGTAGAGAGTATAAAGAAAGGAGGCCCAGAACTAAGCTCTTCAGCAACAAAAACCAGTGATCTCAGCTGTGATTAAAAAAGATCAATCAATGAACCACCTATAAAACAGATTTGGGGATGGTGGAAAACAAGGGCTGGAGGATAGCTGAGACTCTGTCACATTAGGACAGCCAAGTGCAATGCAGCCCTGGGCCAGAATAAGTGAGAACTGGTCCTTTTTCTCTTCTCATCCTACACTCTCTCTCACCACATTCTCATTTCATCTCCCTAATATCAACCATTACTTCTAGATCTATATTTCAGTCTTAATATTTCCACTTGCTTGCTGAACATCATATTTGGGGTGTCCCACCAGTGCCTCAAACCAAAAGACTCAGTCAAATCCAGCTCATTTGTCCCATCCACACATCACCCTTTTTATACTCCTACTCCCACTGACGGTACCGACAAGGAAATAGGTGAAGCTGTCGTTGAGCCTGTTCCCTCATGTTCCTTTCTATTTTCCTTAATGAGAAAGTTGCCAAACCCTGTTGATTACACATCAGTGATATTATTTAATCTGGTTAAATTTCCATTTGTAAAGTATAGTCACTTTTAAAAGTGTCCAGTAATATAAATGCTAATAAATAAAATTATTTTCGTCAGAGATTGTGTTACTGTTTGTTTGTTTTTAAGAACTTTGTTTTCTTCAAATCTTTCTCCCCAAAATTTATCTTTGAACTAAGCTATAGTATGAAAAAAAGTTAAGACAGTTTGCAGAGATTTAGATGGGCAAAGCCATTCAACCTTAGCAGAAGGAGCTACTTTGGTTCTACTTTTGTCATCATGTTTAGGAATAAATCACTGAAAGCAGAGATAGAAATAGAGATGGATAGGAAAGTCTAGGGCCATCTACTTCATCTCCTTGTTAGTGCCAGGAAGTTGTTATGTTTGCTTTTTTGTTTTTGGGTTTTTTTTGTTTGTTTGTTTGTTTGTTTTTAATGTCAAATGCCTGTTTGTACAATAATCCTTAGATTACAACATTTTGATCTCTTTCGTAAGGTAACTAATTATCTTTCAAGTTGCTCTCTGCATTTTTGTTTGAAGTGCTTTCCACAAAACAAAACAAAAATCACTTGAAATAAGTATCAGCGTAATCTGTGTGTCTTTCACTATAGCAATGTTCTTGAAGTCTTACCTTTCTACATAGTCTAGGAGCCGGGAACAGTGATTCGAAGCCGGAGCATCATGACCTCCCACTGCATAAAGAAAGCCATCGCATGTGGCCACTCCGACACCCCCTCTTCTTTTACACATCGGAGCACACATGTTCCACTTATTTGTATGAGGATCATAATACTCCATTGAACTCAAACAAGAACTTCCATCACGACCTCCAACTGAATACAACCTAAAAATACAATTGGAAACACATGAGTGAAACTACAGTCTGAAGGACAGAATGAAGAAAACGAAAAGTCCTTTAAAAATAAATGTTAATCACATTATGAGCCTCAAATGTATTTGAAATATTTTCTTCACATGGAAATCTTTGTTAAAGGGACTCTATAAATGGTTACATATGCCTGGAGTTCCCATCATTCCGATATGCATTATACCAGATGAAATTAAAACAACTGCAATATCCTACCTTCTATTGTTTCTAGAATGTCAGATTTAATATAATGAAATCATGTTAATATATTATTTTAACAGATGTTGAGGAATGGTTATTTAAAATATAGGATAAGATATATTTGCCTTCAATATTCTTTGAAAATGATCATAATCAAAAGAAAATTGATTACCTTACTTGATCAGCATTTTATTTGCATTAGCATATAAATCATGCCTACTCCTGTGTTCTGTTGCCACAGTTTAGAATGCTAAAGAAGTGGAATAATCTAAACAAACATTATCATAACATCAGCTTCCTTAATCTATGNCTGGTTTCTAGTTTTGTCTGTAATCTTCAACTTCTAATGACTTATTTCTTTGTCTCTTTCTTCTAATACATTTTAAGCACTGTTTAGCACAGTGAAAAATACATGCAAAACAATTTTTATTGAATAAGTCAATGTCGGGTTGAATGTATTTTTTTCTAATGGGTTACACCTCCTGGGTCTAAATTCTGTCAGAATTTATGGCATCTTTTAGACATTGACATTTCTCCCCTAAGATGCTATCACTAAAGTGAGGCTTGGCTACAAGATTAGTTTTTGTGGTTCCATCACCTATTCTAAAGCCCCTGCTGTTGCTCAGATCCTGCCTTATTACCTGCTCTGATTTGAGGTGCTGATGTTCTTTGTGTTTGAGATACCCAGAGTGTTTACATTGTTTCATAAGTATCCCATGACTGTAGTTTAACACCATCATTATATAACACCTTTACTTTTCCATAAGAAATCGTTGACATACAATAACATTTGTCTACCTACCTATTATCAATTTATCTATAAAACAGCATTGCACACTATGTTCTAATGATTTGTGTGCCTATAATTATATGCTAAAATTATTCTTTACATTATATGTGCAAAATAATTCTACAGAGGTACCATCATCTATCTTGATTTATCGATGATTTACATGTGATGTCATCAATATAGAATATATGTTTTAGGAAGTGCAAAAATGCTATTAATTTGGCATGTACTATGAGCTCAGATAAGAATCATGATAATGCTGTGTGCTTGCTTCTGCATTACTTAAGCTGCTTATCACCACTGCATTCTTATAACTTAAATTAGCTACGCTTATTTAAATCTAATTTTGCATCATAAATGGATTCCTAGACTGAATTATTTATGCCTCTGTTCACAATCAACATTTCAATACATTATACAGTAAAGTTAGATGAGACTATGTGTGTGAAATACCATTTCAATAGTAGCATTTATATAAGATATTCACTGGAAGAGCTGGAGCCACATCATATTCATCTTCTCTGTCATTTTCCCTAAGAATTTGGCAGTGGAAAATGCGAAGGAGTTGTCAGTCTATTAGCAACATTTTAAAAATAAGTGATTTTATGTTTGTGTGTATAAAAGTATGTGTCTGTTTATTTGGATTCTGACCACTATCTCCCTATAACACCTGTAGTTCCTAATTTCACTGGACAATAGAATGTTGAAGTTAAACTATGGGGAGCTTAATGCCCTCCTGTAGGTGTATATATCTATAAATCCACAGTCCATTTCACAGAGTAGCAGTATCATTAAACATGTTTCTGTATTTTATCCAAGAAGTGGCTTAAGTTTGAACAGAACCTGTTCACCAAAAGCTATTTCTTGTGATCAGCCTTTTTCTCAATTCCTATAATCACATATCCTTATAAAAAAAGGATCACAAATGAGAGACATAACCTTTCTCACACTGACTATACCACTTACAAGCATGAATACAAAGTAATTTTTTTTAATATTAAGAGAAAAAATTGTGTTGGTATTCAGTGCAATCCGCCAAATATCTTGCTATTTTTCTGGGTACAATTTAGGATACTGTTCTCCCACCCTCATGATGTTTCCTGTGGCCACGTGACTGACTGGCTTATCATCAAACTATGAACAAAAGAGAACTGTATTACTTGCAGTTGGAATCTTAAAGAACCAGCAAACAATTTACCACTCTGGCTTTTTCCTTCTGATGTGGAGACCAGCAGTGCTCATATCGTAGCTTATATGTCATTCTGGGCACCAGAGTAATAACATCATGGAGTTGTCATGGATATGTAGCATGAGTGAGAAAAAAAGCATGATGGTATTAAGTCACTGAGTTTTGAAGTTATTCGTTACA